GAAGTAAGTCCTATTTGTAGCCGGTAGCGTAGCCGGTAGCGTAGCCGGCATTCTTACTTTTTTTTTACTAATCCTTCTTTAGCTATAGCCCTTCGTAAGATTCGGAAGTATTAGAAGGACTATAATCTCCTAATCCGTAAAGCTCCTTTCCGACGACTTATTCGCAAAATTGCCTAGTATTTTATACTAGACCTTCGCTTCTAAGCCTCTATAATAGACGCCCTTTAAGAGGCTTTAGAAGCCTATCTAGTTCGTATATTCGAATATATATTTCTCTTCTATCTCTTTTCGAACTATACTTATACTATTTTAGCGGTTAACCTTATAGCTATCTACGCGAAGCGTATTACAATTATAGATAAGGATTTTAAAACCCTTAATTAGATTCTTAAAGGCTATAATGCCTATATTCGAGATTATAGTAGGTAGGATAGATATTCTAGTAGGAAGGATATTCTTAGTATTATCTATAATCGTTTCTATATATAAAATATACCGCTATTATACGGCGCTATATACCGCGCTCTTAATACTCTCTAAGTATATATATATATATATAGTATAGTATAATTTATTAGCCGTACGGAATAGAAGTCTTAGAGAATCCCGTTAGTACTAAGAAGTAAAAATGCCGGCTACGCTACCGGCTACGCTACCGGGTCTTATAAAGAACTAGAACAAAATAGACATTCTAGTTAATTTGTATTAGTTTAGATTTTAATAAAAAGAAAATAGGGAAAAAGGAGGAAGGTTAAAGAACCTAATACTAATATTTATAGGAATTATCCCTATTTTCTAGACTATATTATATACCTGCCTTCGTAACTCTACCTAATACTTTCTCTAAATATCCTTATACTCTACCTACTAGAATTTTAACTAGGTATCTAGACCTAAAGCTACCTCTATATCTTTTACTGTCTTCTATAGTTTAAAGGACTCTTCTATAGTAGCCTCTATCTCTTTATATAATACGAAGTTACTACCTACCCTACCCTTTATATCTACTAAATAACTAAGACTTCTAAGGAACGAACTAGTATTTAGCCTTAGTATAGCGAGTAACTAGTAGAACGTAGTATAGAGCTGCTTTATAGCTCTTTTATATACTATACCTATACCGATAGAGGAGCTATCCTAGTACTTAATATTAGAGAATAGTTTAGTAGGAAAGTATTAAAACTTCTTAAGGAGGGCTTCGAGGGAGATCGATAAGTTCTACCTAGATTTAGATAAGGATATTCTACTAAGCACTTAGGGAATTAAATAGCGAGCGAAAGGATAAAATTTATATCTAGTAATAAGTATAGTTTCTAAACTAAACTAGAATAGCTTGTATCTATATATGCTTTTAATTAGTTAGTGCCCTTAGCTAATTGTCTATAGATTTAGGGTTATATAAGTACCTTCCTATAACTAGAAAATGCCGGCTACGCTGCCGGCTATACTCTCGTATCTTATAAAGGGCTTACTTCGAGTTACGTATATATTCTTATACTTCTTAGAAACCGATAAATTCTATAGTTCGAACTAGCTACTCCTATAGTTGCTTAGTAAACTAAACTAAACTAAACTAGATCTTCGGCTTAGCAAACTAAACTAAACTAACCCGAACTACTATAGGGTCTAGATATACTACTATCTTACTAGGTATATTAAGTTAGTAAAGGACGGAAACTAATACTACTACTATACTACGGAGCTTCTCCTTAGACATTTTCTATCTTCTCCCTACGCCTACGACTAGGAGCAACGTGCGGCAATTCTAGACCTACGGACCGCTAGACGATGCGACGACGCGATAATCTGCTGCTAAATATCCGGGGTTGCGTTAGCTACTTCACCCCTCGCCCCGGGCTCGGGGATTCCGGCTATACGTAAAATCGCTTTTTCTTAGTAGGCTATACGTAAAACTCGACATAGTAGTATATTGTATAGTATATAGACCGGGAAATTGAATTAGGGTGCAGTTAGGGTTAAGAAGCAGTAGATTTCCGTTATATTAGCGACTAAATTGCGACCGTAGATAGTCAAAATAGACCCGCAATCGGCCTCCGCGTAAACCTCTTATTAACTAAGTAATTAATTACCTTACAAGTCGGTCTATAAGTCTATTGTATAATTGCTATCTCTTATTATTGTTGTTAACTAAATGGTTGACTGCTATCTTAAGACTCTTCTAGCTTAATAGGGTTGTTCTTACTGCTAGCGACCTCGCCTCGATAGCGACTAGTTTTCTTCGGAGGCTCGTAGAAATGGCGCTTCCGCTATACCGACTCCTAGCGCCGGCGAGGATGTACTAAGTAAGGCTAAATTATAGTATATATAGTATCTTTATTAAGCAGTGCCTCGTCTTGTTGTAGCTAGTCGAGTCGGGTATTAGGCTCTTGCGCGAATAGGCTATTTAATCGCCGCTTAGTCTTAACGTCGGTCTACGTTAGCAGGTCGCCTTCGTTATAGTTATAGGCGCGGCTCGGCAGAGATAATGTCCTTGTTAGACTCTACCTATAGGTAATATCGCCGCTCTTACTCGTATCGGTAGCTCGCCTATAATAGCTAACAATGTTAGCGTATAGATTACTAGTCTTCTTTAATATAGAGTCGGAGGTAAGAAGGCGCTTATCGAAGACTCGTTATAGTAGCTTATCGATAGACTATAGCTTAACGTCTGTCTACTTAGTCTTGCTATTGTTATTAAAGACAATACGGAAGGCCTTACTATACTTCAATCGATAAGTGCGCGCCTTATTATAAGCACTCTCCGCCTTACGGAGAATCTTCTAGTATCTATTTGTAGCTATGTCCTTGTCTTGCTAAGTGAGTTATAAGCGCAACTCGTTAGCCTCGATAGCACCTGCTCGAATAAGCCGGTTAGGCTATTCCTTCTAACGTTTCTTTGCTCGTTCGACAGTGCTTATAGACTAGTATTTACGCTTGTATTCCTTACCTTTGTAGATAGCCGCGTTAACTAATATATTATACGCCTCTTCTACTGCTTTTATAGGTAACGAGGAAAACGGGTTAAATAGGTAGAATAATAGTAATAATAGTAATATACCCTACGGGACTAGGTTTAGATAAGAGCGTCGGAAGTCCTTGCGAGCTTATATAGCAATGCGAGACGCCTTAATCGTGCGAGGGCTAGTAGTAGTATATAGGAGCTATTGCGGCAATTCGGGGGTCGGTATTCGCTAAGGTAGTAACGATAGTATATCTTAAGCAATTAGGTTCTCGAGTTCCTTAAGGTAGTAGCGACTATTAGCGCGAGACTAGCCTTCTAGATCGATAATAGTAGGCTCTATAGAACGTTGTTGCTTAACCGACGCGATATGCTCCTACTAAGCGATTTCCGCTATTACTAGCGATTCCTCGTATCGGGCCTCTTCCTATACTAATTCGCTCTCGATTGCTTGCTAGTTCTAGTTGCGGTTAGTAGTTCTATACTAATCTCGAATATACTTATAAGGGACCTCCCTATTAATTAGGAATATGCCTGTCTTTCGAAATGCTAACCTAATATTATAAGAGGTGAATGTCTTAGCCCGAATAGCTAAGAGCGCCTCTATAAACTCGGGTATTCCAAACTCGCTAATGCTATAGTGTATAGCCTATAATACCGCTTGCCTATGCCTTAACTTATACGCCTAGAATAGGATTACATTTAAAGGCTGTATAAAGTGTAAAGTATGCGGTTATAGGCCCTATAATTGAATCTTATGCCGCTTTGTAAAGGCTACAAACTCCTTAAAGTAATAGGAGCCGTAATTGTCGTATAATAGCACCCTCTACTCGTTTAGATATTTAGGCCTCGTCTTTCGCTTAAACTAGCGGATATAATACATTATAGTGTCGTCGGTTATGTATCTAGACTCGTTAATAGTGATTAAGAAGTTGTCCTTGCCTAATAACGAAAGTGTAGTTAGTAGGTGTCGTTACTTCGGAAGCGGACTCGGACTCGGAAGTAGTAATAGCAGTAGTAATAGACTTACCTTCCTTCGGCACCTACCGTTCTTAGACTATTATACCTTTGACGATTAACTAATAGTCTACTACCTCACTAAACGCGTTTACGGTCTCGACGACAGTTATATACGTACGGTTGCTGTTATACTTAGTCTAGGCGCGCCGCTTCGTATCTATTGTAACGATATACTCGTTGCTACTAATTCTAACCCGGAAGCTAGTTTTATCGAAATTCTATACGTTCCGCGGCTTTATATCTAGTCGCCTTATTATCGCCTTAAACCGGTTAAACTAGCTCCTTATCGTAGAAGGGTCGTAAGCTTCCTTCCGCTATACCTTAATCGGTTTAGACTTAACCTTACTAAGTCTATAGCGCTTTAGAAAGCGGTCCGCCTAGTCTATACCAAATAGCGGTATTGTATCCTTTAATATACCTTCTAGTAGTAGGCTTACTAGCATATCTATCGCTATAATAGTAATTAGCGGCACCGGTAAGAATATGCCTATTTCGTCCCTCTCTCGACAATAATCCGCTAGTACTATCTCTTAAGACTCGTCTAATTTAGTATTAGTTAATAGACGGCTAAATAGCGACCTACGGCCTTTTAACCGCTAATAGATGCGAGAATATAGGCGAGTTGCTTTCTTACTCTTATAGAGCGCTCGAATACTAACCTTCTTATCCGATTTAGCTACTAATTCGTAGTACCTCGAAACGACGCGCTCTACTACCCTTTCTGCCCTCTCCGCCTCGGTTAACCGCTTAGCTCGTACCCTCTTTACGTTTTTGCTCTTATTACGCCCTATACCGAGTTTTATATACGATCCGTATAGTAGAATATAAGAAACAGGAGGACTATACGCTTTGGAATAAGGTAGACGCGCCTGCTAAGGATTATATAAGAAATAGCGATAGTAAGGTCCTATAGCTACTATATAGTAGTATATACTCGGATAAACTAGCTAATATAATGCCTCGACTCGCGGTTTAATACTATATACACCTAGATATCTATATAGGACTGGAACCTACTACTATGTCGAGTTTTACGTGTGGCCTACTAAGAAAAAGCGATTTTACGTATAGCCGGAACCCCCGCGAACAGCGGGGTAGAGTGTGTGACGAAACCCCGGATACAGCGTCGCTTCAGTGCACGAATGAACACATGCACCGGCCACTGTAGGTCCGTCGCGTCAAGATCGTGATGGTCCATCAAAGTTGCTTGAAAATGCATCAATTTGGCGCTTCAACTTGTTCGCAGGCCGATCGAGCTGTGCGCCTCCGTCTCTTCTGCTGCTTGTGCTTGAAAGCGACACTGCATCGTCCACAAACAAGATGCCAGCAAGCACACCGCCTACGCCCAGTGTGACTGATGCCCGTGGTGGCAGCTGTTTCGGCATCTCCATCGTCTTCCCATTTCCAACAAACTCCCCCAACGCCTTCGCTTTCTTCGCTTCACTTTCACCTTCCTCCCTCCCAGCGTACATCTACACGTTATGCCCAACGACCCAGGCTCGGAGGAGCCTTTCGACTTCGAAGCTGAACTCTAGAGACTGCATCTCGAGCGCCTTAGGAATCGTCGTGCGTTCCAGGACCGTATGAATGCTGCTTTTGCCTCCCAATCTCAAGCTACTGCAGTGTCTGGTCGTCATTGGTTTGATGAAGCCTCGTCATCGGAACGCAGAACTCACCAGGGCCATTCCCCCAACATGGACAAGCCATTTCCACCCCGCCAGCACGCCGCAGAGGATTTTGACGATGATGGGCAAGCTTCGTCTACGGAACGCAGAAGCCACCAGCGCCATTCCACCAACAAGGACAAGCCATCTTCATCCCATCAGCATACCGCAGAGGGCTTTGCCGATGATGAGCAAGTTTCCTCGAAGGAACGCAGTAATCACCAGCGCCATTCCACCACCAAGGACAAGCCATCTTCATCCCATCACTATACCGCAGTGGAGTTTGACGATGACGTACGGAACGCAGAAGTCACCAGCGCCATTCCACCACCAAGGAAAAGCCATCTTCATCCCATCAGCATACCGCAGAGGGCTTTGCCGATGACGAGCAAGTTTCCTCGAAGGAACGCAGTAATCGCCAGCGCCATTCCACCACTAAGGACAAGCCATCTTCATCCCACCACTATAGCGCAGAGGACTTTGACGATGATGAGCAAGTTTCCTCGATGGAACGCAGTATTCGCCAGCGCCACTCCACCAGCAAGGCCAAGCCAACTTCAACTACCTCTTCCCACCGGAGGGTGACGATCAGGACCGATGATGATGGCCGTGATGAGCAAGCACTCCCAAAGGAAGGCGGAGCTCGACAGCGCCTTCTCACCAACACGCGGCCTGAACCAGAAGCCTTGGAGTCTCCGCACGGCCTTGATACTGATCAGGCAGCTCCACGGCGCCTTCTCACAAGCGCGCGGCCCGAACCAGAAATCACAGAGCCTCCGCACGCCCTTGATTCTGACAAGGCAGCTCCATCTCATCAGCGACCATCAGCACAGTCAACCGAAGACGGAGAGCCATCATCACCACAGCCTTTCACTCGACCCATCTTCCCACCAGGTATGCATGCATACATTCTCTGCGATTGACACTCTCCACTAATACGCACGCTCAGCAAGCAGCAGCAGTACTGAAATCGAGAAAGCCTTGCGAAACATTCAACCACTGCCTAGCGACGACAATCTAGCAACCAAGCTCGAACAAATCCAACTTGCATCCGATCAGAACATCTCGTCTAAGAATCCAACATCGTCCAATGATCACTGAGCATTTTGGCCGACATCATCGTCATCATCATCATCAGGTACGTTCCAACGTTCCCTGTGAGTTTTTCCCGCCATGTACCCATTGCTGATTTGACGCTTCTCCATAGTCGCATTAGAATCCGATTCGGCATAAGGGCTGTGTTATCGCCTATAGGTCCCAAGGCCAATTAGCTAAAAAATGGCCTACTAGTCTATAGATTTGATCAAATAGAGCCTATTCTAATACGGCAGTTAGCTTGATCCAATCGTTGCTATTCTATCTAATGTAGTGGCTAATATAGCGTATAGAACTATAGTTAAAGGTATTACTAGGCGGGAAGGGCAATTTCCGAGGTAGAAATAGTAGCTCGGCCTTCGCGAAGCCGGATCTCGACTACGTTCTTCGCTACTATAACAATCGCTACAACTATATAGTATACAGTCCGGACTATAATAGCGACGATATATAAGATGTAGGCGATTATCTACTGCAAAAATGAGTATCTAGCGACGTTATATAGTAGTACGATAACCTCCGGCGTCTCGAAGCCTAAACCGACTTTGCGATAGTAGTAATAACTATACTAATCCCTCGACTATTATCCCCCGAGTCTCGATTAGACAACCTTCGCCTTAATAGAAGGATACTACTACGGCCTATTCTACGTCTAGCAACCCCTCTAACCGTCGTACCGACCTTCGATAGCGATAGAACGTAGGCTATAGAGCTATTCGATGCCTCTACGTAGGTAGAATTCGCGGCCTATTTAATAAGGACCGCTAACCTCGCTCGTAAGAGGTATACCCGTTCTCGCTATTTAAGACTCGTTAAATAGGTAATAATACTACTCGAGTAGCTTCCTCGGTATAATAAGATAGAAGAGAAGGAATACTAGGAGCGGCGGTAGGCTCTTCGTCGCTTTTATTACAATAACGAGAAGAGTAGGTTAATATATATTAAGAAAGAAGGCAAGCTAGCTATATAGGTTATCTAGGAATACGAGATATTTAATGTCTTAAAGGCTAAGTACTGCTTACTCGTATATAGAAGACGTAGACCTATCTAAGCCCTTATAAATATACGCTTCTAAGGAGTAACTAAGAGGGATATTAAAGAGGTTCTTAAGTTCTATAAGGTGTGTACTCTATTGCGGTAGCGACCTTCGAGTAAGACGAAGGTACCTCTTAACTATATTAAGACTTTACGCGTTCTTAGACGCGTTCAAATAGACCTAATCGACTTCTCGAAGGATCTAGATAGTCTATACTAATATCTTCTTTACCTAAAGGATTATAAGACTAAGTTCTCGAAGGCGTACGCTCTTATAACTAAGGAGTCCTCGGAAATCGCCTTCTATATATAGGACTTAGCTACCTTTATTAGCTAGGCGGAGCTCTACCAAATAGATAATAGTAAGGAGTTTAAGGGTGTTGTTAAGCAACTAATTAAATCCTTTAAGATTAAGATAGCGTATAGCGCTCTATACTATCTATAGAGTTAAGGCCTCGTAGAATAGGCAAATAGTATCCTAAAGAAGCGGATTGCCGCCTTAAAGATACAATTAGGTCTAAAGGGGTAGGTTAGCGCTACGTACGAGGCTATACGGATCTACAATTTAACCTAGTATATAGCGATCAAAATAATACCCTATAAGGCCTTCTTCAATCGTAACCCTCTAGTTAACTAGCCTACTATTAGTAACGACTGCCGCCGTGTCGCTAATAAAGGCAATATCGACCTTATCTTTAACGATAGCGACCTATAACCGGTCGACGAGATCGACGATAATACGGCGTTAGATATAGACGACGATACTACCTCGATTGCTACTGTTTCTATAGCCTTAGCGGACGTATATAATATCGACTTCAATTACGATACTACGGACTTCGAGAACGACCTTAACGTACCGCCTAAAGAAGGTCTAATAGAAGACGGTCTTACTAACGCCCTTGCCTTCGGAGGCGCTACTCGCGAGAGCTATTTTAACGAGCGAGAAGGCCGCCGAACGGTCTACATCTTAAGCGCCGGTAGGTCTATTAAGATTAACGATAATAGGCATATACTAGACGATATAATTAAAGCCAACTAGGCCTCTGCTAACGCGAAGGCTAACCGCGCTTACGGTAGTAGGGTAGAGCCTATAGTCTACAACGTTAGTAACCTCGTTAGCGTAGCTATTCCGAAGAGATATCGTATATAAAACGGCCCTTGCGTAATTGTCTACTAGGTTCTCGAGCAATATACGGACGACAACGACGAGGTGCGTAATATATATAAATTGCTATCTCTATAGGGTTAGATTAAAGGCAATTAGTACGTCCGCAACCTTATCTTAATAGTACGTAGCTTCGCTAATTAGAGCTGCTTCTAAGGCTATAAGAATAAGGAGATAACTCTATCGTATACCTCGAAGCGGTAGGCTTATATTCCACTTAACGGCGCGACTAATTGTCGCTACGTAAAGGGTTGTAATAACAATACCTGTCTTTACCGGAGGCGCGGTCTTCTATGCTTAGAGCTATACTATAGCGTTAGCAATAGCTATAATAACATAACTAACCTAAGCTACAGATATTTAGATAACGAGTCGATAGTAGGTAACAGCCAATTCTTAGCTTCTAATAATAGTAAGGTATTTAACGGCTTTAGCGACGACGACTTCGACCTTCTCGAAGGCGACCTCGAAGATACGACTCTCGCTCGAGCGACCGTACCGACCGTACCGACCGCACCGACCGCTCGCAGTAGCAGTCTTCCTACTTAAGACGATATACCGACTTAATTACGCGCGCCGGTTGCGCCTATAGTTAAGCCCTCGCCCCCGTTGCTAGCGGTACTACTATCTCTACTGTTATCGTTACTAAAAGGGCGTAGAAAGCGTACTAAGAAGCCGACCGAGAAGATATTGCTTAAGAAGGTACCTATAGGCGTTTAGAAGAGACGGACAGCTAAGAAATTAGTAGGGCGGCAGCTGCGGAAGTAATTACTTATTCTACTATACGAGCGCTCTTAGATATTGCTTAGATATTGCTATATAGTATTACTCTCTTAGTCTACATTATATGCCGCAATTGGCACTAACTTAGCTTTATAACTCGGCTTAGTCTACTATAGAAGAATAGTCTACTTTCTATGGTAGAAGCCGCTTATACAATAGTCTCAATCTACTATAGAAGGCGCTTATATAACAGTCTTATTATAATGGCCTCATTTGACCTAATACAATAGTCCATTTAACCTAATAAGGCGCTTTTGGTCAAGTAGACTTGGCGCACCAAATAGCCTTTATTTGATCAAAAACAGGGGTGGACCTATAGGCGCAAACAGCTGTCTGTGAACTGCGAAGGATAGAAGAGTGGGAAGCAAAAGCAGTGAGCGTGTGGCAAGGTCCAGCCCGCCAGGTTCAAAGTTCTACGTATCTGACACACATCCAAAATACAAATGAAAATTCTCCTTTCTCTCTCACACATCGTATCACCCTATCCATCCATCCATCCATACAAATGAAACCTATTTCTTTCCCTCCAATCAACAAAATACTCTCCTCTCACAACCAGTACCCTCCTTCTCGTCCATCTCACTCCTCAATATGAAACCCACTGTCACGAACCATAACCACCAAACTCATCATCGTAGCAAGACTCTGAATCGCACTGTCCAAATCCTTCGCGTGGCATTTCTGATGAACGTCGCCCATGTTACGGTCCAGGGCGTCGATGAGGGCTTGGGTGAGGTTGGAGGTAGAAGAAGAAGAAGAAGTGTTGGTCTGGGCAGTGGCGGGTTGCGAGGTGGGAGGATCAGATGCGATCTTGGACGAGGAGGATGCTGCCTTCTTCTTGTTGTTGTTGATGTTGACCCAGTTGTGAATAGTGTTGTCGCGAGCCTTGTCGCAGGAGTCCGAGAAGTCGGCTTCGTCGTCTTCGAAATCGGAAGGATTTGGCTGTGGTAAGTTTTTTTTAAGTCAGATGCGAGAATGGGGAAGTTGGGAATGTGTTTGGAACTCACCGATTGGGGCTGAGATGCGCTCGTCTGCGCAAAATCGTACTGCCATACAGATGCCCCCGCGTCGTCGGAGAACTGCAGAGAATGATGATGATCAGCTTTTGGGGTAGTTGTGGTAAAGAAGGAAGTGTGGATGGGAAATTTGCTTACGCCCTCCGAGTCTTCGTGAATTGCCAATGGCTGCTTGGCTTTGCGGCTGCGAGGCTTGGGTGTGGGAGAAGCGGGCAACATCTTGGATTCGACGTCTTGCATGAGTGAGTCCATGGCTTCAGCCGACATTGCTGGACGGACGGCTGCTGCTGCTGGTGCCGTCACTGGTGGGAGTGATGCTCGTGACTTGCGACGAGTCGATATGCGGGCTGGTGGGAGCAAGGATGCTCGCGTTGGGCGGCGGTGGTCGGCGGTCGCTTGTTGAACTTCGTCAACGTTGTTGTAGTCAAGATTTGGATGACCGGTACCGACGTTCTGCTCCAGACGATCGACATTCTGATGACTGTCGTGACGGATCAGTGCTCCTCCGGCTACATCGTCGCTGTTAGAGGTGCGAAGCTGCATTGAAGCATCCAGGATTGCCTTGGTAGGCATTCTCTGGCCCGGATTGCTGAGTTCTGGATGATTGCGTGCGATCCAGGCCAGGAGATTCCGCTTATTACGCTCTTCCTCTGCCTGTGTGTGTGGAAGAGGCGGCGACCAGACAAGAGCGTCGTAAAGGCTGTTCAGCTGTGATCCCGAGATATCATTGATATATGATCCCGAGAAAGCATGAGCAAAGTTGTCGAAAGCTGCTTGAGAAGCTGGAGCCTTGTAGTTGCAAGGCATGTTGTGGGTCAGAGATGTTGTAGTGTGGTGGTATTGCGATCTTGAGATACGGTGAGGCGATGTTGGGATGATGAGATGTTGGGATAATGAGATGATGAGATATTGGGATGATGAGATGTTGGGATGATGAGATATTGCGGTGTTGCGAGGGCGCGGGTGTGGGTTTGGTAGATGGAGTGTTGACAGAGAAGAAAACGAATGGCATTCGCTCGTACAGCTACATACACAATAAGGAAGGCAAACGAAGCAGCGGGAGATTGCAAGCCATAAGGTACGCACTGCTTCGGGAATGTTGACATGAAGCTTGGCAGTGCGATCCAGACAGCCTTCCCAAACAGGAAAGAAGCGCTCGTTTCAATCGCGGTTTCATTATACTTGACTTCGTTCGCTGGAGATGATGAGAAAGGAGAAGTGGCGTAGGAAGTTAGAGTGCGAGATCGTATAACACGGAGATGTGGATTCAAGATGCCGTGTAGGAAAGAGAGCTTAATTTATCCGCAATTCATGATTATATAATTGATTTCTGCTGCTCGAGACGGCCGGAAGTGGAAAGCTACGTAGGAGTTAGAGCGCGAGATCCTGTAACACGGAGATGTAGATGTAAGACGCCGCGTAGGAAAGAAGAGCCTATTTCAATCGCAAACTTATTATAGTTAATTTCGTTCGCTCGAGAGGATTAGACAAGGAAAGTTACGTAGGAGGTTAGAGTGCAAGAATCCGCGTAGGAAAGAAGAGATTAGTTCAATCGCAACTTTATTATACTTAATTCCGTTCGCTCGAGACGACTAGAAGTAGAAGTTCGTATAGGAGGTTAGAGTGTAAGATGCTATAAGTCGGAGGTAGGCATACAAGATACCGTATAGGAAAGTGGACAGCTAGTAAATCGCGATTGTATTATGTTTGTAAGAGTCCGGCTAAGTAAGGTAGCACTATATTCGTATACCGTAGATAGCAATAAAGGCGGCGTCTATAATAGCAATAAGAGAGGCGTATTATTCGAATGCGGAAGGAGAATATATATCGCGCAATATTAACTTTTAGAAGCAGGCGCTTAGCTAACTAACGAGAATTTAGGCATCCTCGCTACTTCCCCGAGCCCTAGCTATCCGCCCGAGCCCTAGTAATATAGTAGATTATAGAATCCGCTATTCCTAACAAAATCGCGTAGGGAAGCGATTTCCGGATCCCCGTAACTACTACCGACTAGGCAACTACTTCTATACTACTACTAGCTATAAAGCTAAAGTTTCTTAGCAAATTAGTAGTATAGCAAAATTTAAGGTATTATTAGTTGCTAGCTATCTACTTAGGTCTAAGCGGATTACGACCTACAGCCTTATAACTACGTAATACTATATATGCTAGCTTATATTAGTCTCTTATTTACTAACTAGCCTACTACTATATATAATACTACTACTAAGTAAACTAATAGTGCTATTAATATAGCACCTAGTAGTAAAGTAGCCGTCCTATTAGCTATATAAGCGACTATTATTATTACTAGTACTAGTCGTATTACTAAGCAGCCTATCGTTATTACTATTTAAATAATGCCGCCTACTATCGGCTATATTTAATCTATTACTAAGTACGCTATTCTTTACGCGCTCGAAGGTTATTAACCTCTTACTATAGAAGGTCTAGCTTAGAAGGAGGTTACTATAGTTTAACTAGAAGTGCTTCTTACCGTAGATTATAATAGTTAAAGCCTATAGGGTAATAGGCAGGTCTATAGGCATAGTTAGCCTTCTAGTAAGGGTATAACTAAGTGCGGTATTAGCTCTTAACGCACTTATAGTAAGCAATAGTAGTCCTTAACTAAGTAAGAGATACGCCTAGCTCTAATATAAAGTCTACGGTCCTTACTATTACTATCTTCTACTTCTTAGCTACTACTATCTTATTTAAGTCGTCTAATTCTCGAGCCGTTACTATACGCTTTGTTATATACAACGTCGCTCCGCTAGTAAGAGGTTTACAGTTGCTATAGATTATCTATAGCTCTTAAATACGGTACGAGTCGAGGAGCTATACCTTTCGGAAGTCGATAAACTAGTAAGCGTAGAAGTAAGAAGGTAATAGCACTATACGGCTACCCTATATCTCTAAAAGCTTTATAATATCGTAAAGATATAGATAGCTATAAGTCTTAGATAGGTAGTCGTTATAGCGGCACTATAGATAAGAATACGAGTAAGCCGAGTGCTTAATCTCGTTACTATTAGTATTAACTATAGCTTTTAAAAGCGAGTTAGTACGCGAGTATAGAGCCTATACTTCGAGAAGGTAATAGTCGCTAATAACTCGAGTTATAGAAGACTAGAATAGACCGATTAAGGCCTTAGAATAGCGCTTTAGGTTATTAGCGAGTATAGTACGGCGGCGGTCGTAGCCTTAGTACTACTAATTAAGAAGCGACTCGAAGAGGGTAAAGATATCGTATCGACTGCTATAGTTTAACTACTCCTTAATCCGACCGTAGGTTACCTCGACTTGTAACGTTGTTTTATAGCTAAAGTGGATTACTTAGTTAGTCTAGAAGTAGACAATCCTCTCCTTATAATACTACTAGTTATTATTTAGATAGGACTTAAACTATAGAAATACGTTATCTAGCTTATAAGCCTTATCGTTAAATTCTTCCTCGGTCTAACTCTAGACTATATAAGTAAACAACTTTATAAACTAAGTAGTCCTTAGACTATTAGTCTACGAGCTATCGTTAGCCTTAACTTATATAAAGTCGCCTCGTTCTTTATATACTCGAGTTAATATATCTTATTATAGGTACTATTAATACCTTTAATAATACCTTTAGCGCCTTTAGCGCCTTTAGCGCCTTTAGCGCCTTTAGTACCTTTAGTACCTTTAGTACCTTCTACCGCCGCTACTACTACTATCTCGCCGCTAGCGACGAGATTATCGAGAAACTCGCTAATATATACTTCGTATAATAGAGATTTAGCTATTTTCGGTAGTTACTAGGCATTCTACTATAAAAGGGGGAAGAAATATAAATATTAGGTTAGTAGACTTCGAGGCGCGACTTCGAGGCGCGACTTCGAGGCGCGACTTCGAGGCGCGACTTCCTAGGTAACGCGCTCTGCGCTACTAACTAAGAATGGATATGATATGTAATAGGTGGAAACAGCACGTAATCTTATTCAGGCCGATTCTATATTGGTATATCTACTGGGGCTCGGGCGGGTAGCTAGGGCTCGGGGAAGTGGCGAGGGCAAGTTCTTGGCCTTACGACTTCCCGACGCAGACCGACACACGCCGCATGCGGACCTGCTGAGATGAGCGTTTCCCTATCTGTCTTCTGCACAGATCGGATATCAGAACAAGGCATTGCCAGCGCCACATCTCAGACTTCCCTACACCTGCCGCCCGTTACGCTCATCCAACTCGACGAATTCCTTGAGCTATGCCTCTTCCACATTCAGCATGCTCTCTCCTGTCACAACCACGGTAATACGGACCTGATATGCGATCGCCATTCGCCATTTGCGGACGGCCATGCTACGATGCTGTCTCTACCGCATACATCTGCACGCCGCTGTTGCACTCTCCTTGCCCAGACGGCGTGGACGACTTCGTGCTGCAGGTCACGATTGCCTCAAACTGATATCTTGCGGGACCTTCTACTTCGAGTGTGTAGCAGCGTACAAAACTCACCGACCATCCGCTCGACGTACTCGTCCTGGATCGCCAGCGCCTAGCACTCGTCAAGCTCCACGTACACGTTAAGCTCCACATACTGCTCAAGCTGCACGTACTCGTCAAGCTTCACGCACTCGTCCTCGCACAGTCTCTGCGGCGCCAAATCCACTTGCTCATGCCCGCGCTCGCACTGCGTCACCGTCTCCACTGGCTCGTGCTCGTGCTCGTGCTCGTGTTCGTGCCTGCGCTCGTACGGCATCACCGCGTCAGTCAGACTCAGAGGAGTCAGAGCAGGCGACTCCCTGTGCGCCGCGGCAAGGCTGTCAACAGCAGTCATCACCCTCCTCGGTCGAGACGTTGCCTAGCCCTGTCTCCATCTCTCCCAGTCCCTCCACTGCCTTTCCATCCTGAATGGGGTCAATTGTCGCAGGTTTATGTCTGCTGCAATGGCATACGCATTCTTGTCACATTCTGGCCTGGTTCATGTGGAGCACACGGAAGTGAGTAGGAATTTCTTGGAATTGCAGAATCAATCTACGAGGTCATAGAATTCATCGCCTTCTTCATCTCCGCCAGCTTCGCTTTCCACGACTGCCTGCTCAGCTCGTGCATTCGCAGCCTCCACTGCTCGACGCCGACATTGAGCTGCGTATTCCACGCTGTTTCGGTACTTCTTCAAGCCGTCGCGAAATTGGGCAGGAGAGCCACAAAGATATTGGCCCGCAATTTCCGTGGTGTAGATTCGATCTGGCCCATCGGGGGTAGCACTGGGCTGCCTGTGCACGGCATGGAATTTCATTGTGCCAGCGTGATAAGACTGCACGAAGGCGTGGGCGACTCCATCCGGTGGAAGGTCCGATCCTCTCGCATAGGAATGAAGTTTGTGCATCGCTCGCTCTCCAAATGCGCCATCCAAAGTGATTTGGGACTCCAATACTGAAGTCTTGCCATCGCGGCCTTTGACTTGCATCATGTCGTTGACAGCGGCAGGGGTATGGGAACCATTTGCGCATACGATGTAGGGTTTGAGGGCATCGCGGACCGCAGGCTTGATGTCTTCCTTTGAAATGCCAAAGCTGTGATCAGGCTTGGGAGGTGGCATTCTGGCCGGAGGTCGAAGGATTGGCTCCAGATTGGAAAAGGCTAGATCTGTGGATCTAACATGGTCAAAGTAGCTGGTGAAGTAAGGATGCACAACCTCCGAGACAAGCTGGCCCTCATTGAGCGCTTCGTGATTTGCGCGCACGAATTTGGGGAAAATGCTGTCCGGATACACAGTCGGAGATAGCGACCTCCGATCACGGTCCAAAGTAGCCTGCAGGGCTGCCTTGTTGGCGGGATCTACGCAGTATGATGGCCCGTAGATGTCGTTGTCCATAAGAACATCCGATGCGACTTTGTCGTAGGTAGATGTGCGCTCCGAGATCACGGATGTCGGCAAGGATGATTCGCTGGCGATAGTTGATGTCTTGCGCGATCTTTTGTGAGGGTTGCTGCTACTCGCAGAAGACGACATATTGTGCAGCCGCGCAGTGTCTCTGACCTCCCAGCGGTATACTCGTTCTGTCCCACTTTCGCTTTCGCGAGGTATCTCTTGCAAGCTTCGAGCCGTGAGAACAGGACGAAGGCCGTCTCGCGGTGCCTCTCCGATGCTCCTCCGCCTCCTCCTCTTGATGGGCTTCGCGGATGGCGTCGGTCGAGTGCGCGACAGCTCGTGCGCGCTGTCGTCGGTGTTTGCCCTTTTCCTCTTGGCGGATCGCAGGACTGGGGACATGATGGGTGCGCGGTGGTGCTTGCGCTGGGTTTATGTAAAGGCAAGGTACGCTTTATGCGCCGGCGCAAAGCGGGGATGAAAGTCGAGTCGAATCACGATGCGCTGGCGCCAAGTAAAGCAACGCTAGGCCGCGGAATATCGGCGAGCCAATCAACCCAACGCTAGAACCCCTTATCCTCGGCTTAGCTTTCTGCATTTCAGGCTCTCTAAGCCCCATCGTCGAAGCATCCCTTTGCCTATTTTTAAGGTCAAACCTACTCTAAACCCTATTATAGGGGGCCCGTAAGTAAATAGTCCGATTAGCTATAGCCCCTATATAGGGCCGTATACGGCTAAGACCTCCGAAGGCCGTATTAGTATATACTACTATAGTAGGTAAATATAGAACCTATAGAACCTATAGAATAAGAGGGTATAGACCTAATTAGTAATAGCTATATAACCGTACTATTAAGAAGTATAAAACGGCTTAAAATACTACTTATAAAGAGGCTAATTTAGACTATATATACTATAGTAAAGTAAAGCCTTCTATAGTATATAATTAATAGTCTGCTTAGTATTCTTCTCGTACCTATAGTACTAGTAAGTAAGGCGTTTATTATCGCTTTGCGAGCTTAGAAATACTATAGTATAAGTAGCTAGAGCTAGTCGTATTATAGGTAGTATAGACGTCGATCTAACGTAGCTATTTTAGAGTAATTTGCTAGTATTTCTAGTACGTACGTATCTAGTTACGTACCTACTACGGTACCTACGGACTATACTATTATTAAGTAATATCGTAGTAGCTACTATAGCGGTATCTCGCTCTCTAGCTCTAGATAAGACAAGGTACTAAGCTAGTCTTATTCTAAATTGTCGTTAAGTAAATACTAGCTTATCCTTTATATACGTTAAGCGTAGGAAGTTAGGTATCTAGTATATCCGCTTAAACCTATCCCTATATAGAATATAGGCATTTATTACCGCTATATCTAGTATATTAAAGAATAGGCTATACTAGGCTCGGACATACTTTAATTAAGTACTATAATAGCTTTGTAATAAGTTATAAATATCTACGCCGCCTATACAATCGTTATATTTAATAGACTATAAAAGAACGAGAAGTTTAACGACTAGGAGGTCTCTCTAGGCTATTTTACGTAGAAACTTCGTAAAGGTACTAGAATCTCGTAGCTTCTTACGATTACGTTCTTCTTATATCTATAGATCGTATATAGTAGTATATACCTAGACAATATTCTTATCTTACTATATTATCGCTATAGTATCGTTATATAGGGTCTTAAAGAGTTAATATCCGAATAGTAAGCGGTCCTTCTTCTTATTAACTTTTTAACTAAATTCCTTCGGCTAGTCGCTATAGTTAGCTCTCGCGGTACCTGTCGCTATAATGCCTATAGCTCTTAATATATAAAATAGCTTTCTACTAGTAAATAGGTTATCGTAATAGAGCGAGAAGAAATAAGAGGCAGAAGGCAGTTAAGAATATAGAAATATAACTATATATAACGTTAGCGACAACGTTATTACTATTGCCTTATCTACCGTACTTAATTTCGATAATATACTCTCGAAGTCGATATCTACGTATTAGGTAGCGATTGTAGGGCTCTTAAAGGCGAAGAAATAGTAGTATCCGGCCTCGTAGAGCGCGAGAATATAATATCCGATAGATACGGGTTTGCCTCTAATTATAATCGTATAGACTAACCTGCCTATAAAGCGTACTATTATCTCGCCGATAGCAACTATAGTAGCTAGAATATAGTACTATATAAAGAGCTTCCTTAACTCGTCCGCTAGAGGCTTAATCTTATCGTAAAAGCGATACTTTAGTAAGTTATCTTTAGGCTCCGCGTAGTAGAAGTATCGCTTTATTTTATTAAAGCGACTGCGACCTATAAACCTTATTAATAGGTAGATAGGCTACTCGCCGCGCCTAGAGTAATATTCGTTAGTATTAGCTTACCTAACGACTAATATATAGATTATTAATCCGAGCTAGATCTTTAGTTCTATAACTATTAACTCCTTCTAGTCAATCGCCTTCTTATAAGCCGTATACGTATTCGAGAACCGAGCTAGCATCGATAATATAACGTCTATAAAGAATAGGCGGAAATATAGTAGTAGGAGGTCGTATCTAGTACTCTCGAAGTATAACTAATTGCTTAGACAATTCTTAGTATAATTGTCGCTATTATAACGACTTTAATAAGCGATCGGCGGCACTTTATTTAGCTAGTTAAAGAAGCCCTCTAGCAATAAGATAGACGTCTTATAGTAAGGTCCGCTTAATAGTATATATCTATCTAATTCCTCTATTATAGGTATAGCACTCGCGTCTATTATTGCCGGCTCTTACTACGGCGCTCTATTAGTATCTACTTCTATTTCGTACGCCTCGTTATTATTAGATTTACCCTCTTTATCGGCGCCTATCGTACCGTTACCTCGACTAGTACCTATCTTAATATCGCTATACTCGCTATTAGTATTATCGAAGTCTATTATTTAACTATAAACCGGCTGCTCTATAGCCTTACTTAGGTCCGGCGGCTACGTATTTATACGCTAATATTGCGGCAAATACGACTAAGGAACGCCGCCTATAAAGTTGTCTATAATATTAATAATCCGGCGGCGTAGCGGTATAATAATACTATATTATATAAAAGAGCGCGGTTCTAAATACTATAAAGGAGTAAGAGTAGGTCTATAGGTAGTCTACCGATTAGATACTAATACTAGTAATAACTACGTAAATTGATTACCGGTCGAGACGAGAGGCCTATTTAGGTTTAACCTAATAGTGTCCTAAAAAACACTTCCGTTTACGAAGGGATTACATACCGCAATAAAGAACCTGCTAGCTATTAGATATCTATCGGTAGTAATCGGCAATCTATTTTATTAGCGGAAATTGTTCGCTTCTCGGGCTATCGGGTATATTACGCTTACCGCTAGCTATTCCTTTCTTACTATAGGTAAGCATTATAAGGGGTTACGTAGCCTCCTACGTTTATAGTGTAATACAAAAGTATTACGTATAGCGTAGTAGATTACTTACGTAATACTATATTACTAGCGGTTTAATATAGCTTCGTTAATTGCCTATATTCTATCTATTCTATAGTCTGAAATATAGTATAAAACTTCTTTAAGCTAAGAAGTTACATACCTATTATATAACTAAGCTAACGTATTATATACCCCCTTAGCTTATAGAGAAGGGGTATATCTTCTATTTTAGGTAAGGTAGTTAATACTTCTTTATATATAAACAAACGAAACTTAAAATAAATTCTTTTAACTTCTTATATAGTACTTTATTAAAATAATAAAAAATTAGTTTAAATCTATACTATATATAAGAGAGTCTTATTTTATACCCCGATTACCTCGAAGGATATCGTTATATAATCTAGACTGCGTATATACCTGTATATACGGTCCCTATTACTAGGAACTATTTTCTTCCTACGTAGTTAAAGTACGGACCGATAACTTTAAGCCTTATTTAAGAACCCGTACCGTTTAGTAAAGTTAGTTTAATTAAAGTAAACTAAGCCGTCTATATTATACTATCGGTTATTATATTAGTCGTATAGGTAGCGTCTAATTAATTAGATAAAGGATTAAGTAAATATATATTAGTTAAATAGGTTTAACGAATTAGGATAGGTAACTTAACTAAGGACGCTGCCCTTAGATAAGACTACTATAATATTATTATTAGCACTAATACAAACGCCGCAGGCTTATTAGTTAGTAGAAGTAACGCTCGAAGTAATAATATAGGCGATAGTAACGTACCCTATAAGGTAAGGTTGCCTATACTATTTATTTAGTCTATATTAGAAGGTAAGGTTAAATCCTTTACTCTAATTAGTCGTAGTTACCGTATTAGATACTTTTGTTAGCGCTAATTTATAAGGGTATACTTAATTAACTTAGTTATAGTTAGTAGGGGGGGCGGCTACTAAGTATTATATAGAGTTGTCTTTATATTACTAAAGAGGGAGAGGTTATTAAAGGAAGAGTTGCCTCCTTATATAACCCTAGGTATTAGTTTAGTTAGTCTTAGCTATTTAATAAACCTCTTCTAGTTCTAGGGGCTATAGAGCTTAGTTAGTTAATCGGCTAGTATATTCTATATTACTAAATACTCGTAGTATATACGACCTAACTTATACTCTTAGCGTAGCTAGTATTAATAAATATCTATATACCTAAGCTTAGTGTCTAGCTTGCTAGTATCCGCCTTAATAATACGAATAGTTTATATATTATTATAGTATAGTATAGGAAGGCTATCTAAGGTAAGGCTAATATTATTAAAGAATCCCTTCTACTAGTTTAATTCTAAGCCTATATATAAGGCGGCTAGCAGCTTAGCCTTAGTCGTAGATTTAGTAGTAGTTAACTGTCGTACTGCTTTCTAATCGACTAGTCTATTAAATAGGCTAAATAACTATTATTCTAACGACTATCTAGTGCCTTTATAGTTACTATATAAGGCATTAGAAGCCCCGTAGAATTTATAAAGCTATTAGCTTAAATAAGCGGTAATTGCTAGTCTATTAGCGTTATATTCTAAGTATAGGTACTTTGTCTAAAAGCAGGTATTTAATATACTAATTAGCCGCTACTATATCCTCTAGTCGTAGATTTTAAAGACCCTTAGATAGCAGGGACACTGCCTTAGCAATGTCCGGCCTAGTTTGAACTGC